CTCAGGATGGCTTTGGCAATTCAGGGTCTTTTGTGCTTCCATACAAATTTGATGATTTTTTGTTCTATTTCTTTAAAAAATACCAATGGGATTTTGATGGGGGTTGCATTAAATCTGTATAATGCTTTAGATAATAAGGTCATTTTAACTGTTGATTCCTCCAATCTAAGAACACGGAATATCTTTCCACTTCTTTTCAATTTCTTTTAATAGGGTCTTACAGTTTTCATTATATAGGTCCTTCACTTGTTTCGTTAAATTTATTCCTAGGTATTTTATTCTTTTTGTTACAATTGCAAAAGGAATTGTTTTTTTCTGTTTCTTTTTCTGACAATTCATTATTAGGGTATAGGAACACTGTAGATTTTTGAACATTGATTTTGTATCCTGAAACTTTACTGTATTTGCTTATTGTTTCTCGAAGTGTTCTTGTGGAGTCTTTAGGATTTTCCATATAGAGAATCATATCATCCACAAATAGTGACAGTTTGACTTCTTTGTTTCCTATTTGGATGCCTTTTATTTCTTAATCCCCAGAACCTGTGTCAAAAGACTCAGCATTGCTCCTTTTGTATGTTATCAACGTAAGTACTGGCAGAGACCTTAGATATGCTGGACCAGTGTTTTCCAAAGTATAGTCCACAGATACTAATAAGTGTTAGCAAAAGGATTCTGAGTCAACTAAGACTGATACAAAGTTAAACAAATATACTGCAGGATTTCTCAGAACCCTTAATATTGCTAATGCACATGGTGAATCTCTTAAAGAGGTGAAATGATGTGTAGCAGTTTCTGACCTAATGTGACCACAGAACCATTTTTCATGAGATTAATATTCCTTGAAACACATTTGCAAAATGCTAATGATGGAGGAATTGAGGTTTAGGGAGGTTAAATAACTTGCCCAAGATCACAAAACTTTTTAAAGGCAGCACTGGAACTAGAGCTTCAGCCCAAGCATTTCCTGCAACTCAGGTAGAAGAGACCTTTAGAGGCGAGCCAAGAGGTCACCTCCTTACAGCCTTGGGATTCACAATACTGGTGACTTTTTTATTTTTTAATAATGGCCAACTAGATATTTGATAACTGTGATAAAGAGAAACATTTCCTAAGATTATATTTAAAGTTTTTTTGTACGCAAATGTTTTGTAATATTTTAAAGTTTTGTTAAAACTTTTATAGATATAGATATAGATATATAAGGATTAGAAATTAAAATTACTTTCTATGTTTTTGTGTGTGTTGAAGACATTTAACCTCGTGACATTTTGAGTTGACTAGTCCATTTAAAAAAATTGTTTAGTTTTATATGTTTGTAACCATTTCCTACAAAACAGATTTGTAATCTTTTTTTTTTTTTTTTTTTCATTAGACCCTTGAACCCTATTTAACTGTGTTTGGATTTGTGATCTTTCTTACAGAGAACAAATCTTTCTTGATTCATGATGTTAAACTCCAGAGTGATGTGAGGGACTAACTTTGACCCTGAGAAAAGGAGGCCTACACATAGATCTGAGAAATATCTGAACCTGGCAAAACAATCTAAGGGTTACGATGTTGCTAAATTGATTCTCGTTAAGAATCAAACTCAGGCTTTTTTGCTGTGATGGGATCATAAAGAAGAGAGGCATAAGGAATGAGAATTCTCCTTTCACTACAAGAGAGGTTATGGAGATGGGTGTATAGAGAATTTAGGCACTGCTTTCCTGAGCCAAATTTAGTAGAGTTGCTCTAATTGTTGAATGAGAGCATGGCTACCCATTTGGAACTTTCTAGACTGATTTTCAATTATTTCCTCTTTAAGGAGTGTGTCAGTGTTTTACAGTTGTCTGTTTTTGCCAGATATCTTTTCATTAGTTTTGCTATTTTTGTGAAATTTGCTAAATTCAATCTGTGCTTTCACATAGACTCTGATTTTAAAAAATCAAAGTATCTTTCATTCAGATTTATAATGATAATGTTTTATAAGTGTAAACAGTTCTAAAATCATTTTTATAATAGTTCAATCTGATTTTTTAATACTTATATTTATTGTTGATATATTATAAATGTATCAGAAGTGTCAGTGGTTGTGCTCACCATGTTCATGTCCTAAGTGGCAGTCTGTGTCCTACAAATTGTGTGTGAATAACATGTGAACAGTCTACTGGATTTCTCAGGGGACATCTCAGACAAGATAGCTACTGGGTCTTACCTGTGCCAGGGTGACAAGGTGCTGACAATAGAAGGAAGTAGGTCCTAGTGGCCAAGCTGAGTGTAACCATCACAAAAACAACTGAAGAAAGAGAAAAAGAGCAACAGTCTTCCAAGATGTTGTTTTTCATGTTTATTTTTAAAGGAAATCATGGATATGTCAATGTCTGTTATGTGAATACTGTGAAAAGCTAAACAATTAAAAGCATTACTTGTCATATACTTGGCATATTTCTGTTGTGTTCATTTGATTTGGAGTTTATTATATCGCTGATCACAGTTCCAATCCCT